CAAACCTGTGTGTGTGTGTGTGTGTGTGTGTGTGTGTGTGTGTGTGTGTGTGTGTGTGTGTGTGTGAATGAATGAACATTGGAGAGTCTCAGAGTCATGGTACAGTGACTCACCACAGACTGACTCTCACACAAAATGCAAAAACATTGTAGTATTGAAACTTCTGATCTTTTAAGTGAATAGAAAATACAGTTTGTACAGTATAAAAACTTATTTTTGCCTATATATGAAATATCCCCATAATGATAGGAAAACCTATGTGTGTGTGTGTGTGTGCGTGCGTGCGTCACTTATTCATATTTTATTCTGTCACTTTGTCATGGAAACAATTAATATATTGTATATCACATTAAACTATAATTAGAAACAGGAGGTGTTATTACCATTATCTTTTAACCTACGTATATCGTCATATTGGCCATATACTGACGTGCACACAGTTAAGGAGTTGGACAATTATAGCACACCTTATTGTGAAACATTTTACTAATTCTTTTTTCATAAAACTAACTCCAGCTTTCAACTGAGATATGTATTTTATGAGGCTATAAAAGGGCTCCTGCTTTGATCTAAAGCATATCTGGAGATGTCAGGTTAACAGGCATATTTGATGTTTGCAGACTTCATGATGAAGCATGAGTAAACCCCAATAACAAATATGAAAAATTAAAACCACGGAGAGGAAAACAGTATGAAAACAAGAGTCTGACGTCAAAGCTTTATAGTTCTGATTCATTCCAAAAACTCATTAAGAACTTCAAAATAAAGGTGAGAAGCACTCATATATCTCCAATGGAAACAGTCTGTTTGATACTGTTTTAAGGAAGAATGTCTTGACATTTAGTGCTCAAACTCCTTCACTTGTATCAAGTAGCAACAGACACTCCCTTCCTTCTTATCACTTTGGAAAATTTGAGGATTGCCAAGGACAGGATGGCAACATAGGCCTTTTGTTTAACCAGCAGTGATAAAAAGAACAACTGTGAACACTCCAAGCTCCAACAGATAAAACTTAGCCATGCCAAGACTCGGTGTCAACTAACATGCCACAGCAAAATGTCAGCAAAAAAAAAACAAAAAAACATCTTGAATAGTTGTTGTTTGATCATTTGTTCTATTGGAACATATTTCCTTGGTATTGTCTTGTCAGGCACCTATAATAAACACATAAAAAATTGTACATTTACGAGACAATTTCCATATAGGGATATTGTATCTCCTAGGTTTCCTGATCAGAACATCATGTAATGAGAATATCTTGGGTCCTCCAGGTCTAAACTCTCATCTTCTGAATGTTCTGAACACACTTCATTTAAAGTTTATCAAAAGCTTCCCCTTATGTGTCATTTATGTGTGATAAAGACTGATCTGTGCTGGCATTCAGAAGATGTAAGAGGGTAAAGAGTTCTAGAGTTGAGGCAACCATATTGTTAATATTTAAAATGGCCATAAAGAAAAATGGGGGTTTGTGTAATGAGGAGGGCTTGAACTCTAATCTGTGCAGGAATGCAAAGTCATTCAGTGTTGAGTGTATCAAACATTATATGGAAAAGTAATTTTTAAATGTTCTCTGAAAAAAAAAGAAGTAACATTTAAAAATAAAATAAAATAAAAACACTAGATGGAAGTCCAACTAAAATGTTTCAGGAAAAAAAACTTTCCAAGTAAGTCTTGATCCAATTTAAGATTCTCCATCACTTTTGTTGGACTCAGGGCAGGTTATTTAGGTTAGTTCAGTGCTGGTGATGTGGGATTGAGGAAGCAGATTTAATTCTGGCTTTACGGCTTTATTGACCTTCACTGGAATAAAATGCAAGCATTTTGGGTTAAGCGTCACAATTACGCACCAGAAGTAAAAGGAAGCTCATTTTGCCCTAGCTTTTATATTTCATGAGAACTGTTTACTTATGAAAATGTGAGGGAATCCAAACAAGTATTGTGATAGGCAAGCAAATCATCATAGAGAGAGAGATAGCCGGCATTGTTCCAAGAATGGCATAGAGAACTTGGGAAATTTGCAGCATATGAAAATATTTTATTGTTTAGTTAAAAGAATAGATGTTTAAATAGTAGGCTACATATAGGGTTTTTAGGTACTGAAAAATGACCTTTCAGGGAGACTTAATAATAAGAGTGTTAATTATTGGGGTACTTTATCAAACCTGTTTATTTGAGCAAAATGTATTAGTATTTTGTGTAGACTTCTGTTGAAAACTTTGAGCAAATTAGAAAACAGGTGAAAGTGTCTTTGTTTTGAGAACTGAATGAATGGTTTGGGAAATTGTGAAAGTTTCTGTTTCAGCTTTCAACTGTATCAATTATGCACTGTAAAAAATGGTATGTGCTATCTACACATTCTAAAAAAAAATATGGTAACAACATTACACGTAATATTTTTGAGTAGTTTTTAAGGCTTGATTTATTTAATTAAATTAATAAATACAATTAAAATCTGCTACATTATTTAATCTATGACACAATTAATTTAATATTGTTAGTGAAATGTGCTCATTTGTTTTAAGTTGATTCTCAAAAGTCTGTGATTTTGAGTAAGGCCTGTTTTGTATTTGATTTTGAGTTTGAGTTATCTTGTACAATTACAAGACTGTGTGCAGCTAGACAGCTCAAGTAGGAAAAACTTGTAACTGCACTGGTGTTAGCAAAGCTTCTGCTCATTGAACAAAGCATCATGCATTATTATGTTAGTATATGCAGTTATCCACAAACTAACCATAAGCTCTCCTCTTCTGCACAGTGGTAACGACAGAAACTTCAACATAACAGAAACTCTTTCAAATGTCAAACATAACTGAACATTAAACATTAACAGATGTTTCCATTCACTCAAAAACACATAAAATAGCACTTAATTTCAATATTTACTCTCCATATCCAGCCATATGCAAAGCATGCTAGGAACTAACAATCACCGCCAAAATAAAACAGCACAATTGAGCTAATTCTCTTAAAATAAATAGATAGCCGTTCTTCTTTAATTTTATCAGCTTAATCAGTTCCCCAATTTAAGCTTCAAAATTGCTTGTTTCCTTAAAAAAATGAGGAAAACATATCTCTTAGCTTTATTAGTGAAATGTTCTCAATATTTTCTATACAACACTGAACCACAATTTCTTTAATAAAATATACACACTATTTTTAATTATCACATACATTTTTTTATTGTTGGAGTTTTCCAACTTGTATAAGCAGGTATTGACATGTTAAGCTTTACTCTTAAAGTAAAGTGGTCTTTACTTTACATTCAACGTGTGAGTCAGTTGTTACTGGTTATTGACGTATCACAGGAAGTAAAATGAGGAAACAGGAGCAAAAATAATGGTAAAATGGATGTTCCCTGAAATGTATCAAATACTAGTGCTGTCATTCTTCTTTTATGATGCCCATTGTCTCATATCTACAGCTCAAATGCTCTCAATAATAGACTCTATGACACATCTGAACAATTGATTTGATGTCTTTTCCTCAAGGGGTTCTAAACCATCAGTAAACCATGTAAGTGGTTGTTATGTTTGAATATGTTGCTTGTGCCTACGATACATGGGACAGAAGTTTTATGTGTGGCCAGTCATTCATCAGAAGGACAGGACACAGAGAACTGTGATAAATCATTCAGCCTTTCATTGAAGCAGAAGGAAAACGCAACTAAGTTCTTAAGGTTATGGTAAACTTGACAGTCGTGCAGCTGCAATATTGATTAAAAAAAACTGGTCAGCCTACAAGCACCTACAATTCAAGGGCGATTTTAGTAAAATAAGTTATTTTCTCTTTTGTATGTTACAATCCCATTAATCAAATCAAATCGTTTTGGTTTCATGTTATAAATTAAAAATGTTTTAAAATATGGGGATCCTTCAGTAATAAAAGTAGTACACAGTGTACAAAATAAAATTGAATACAAAATGAATTCAAATTTATTTAAGCTTAATTTGTTTTGAAATATGAAGCTAAAGGTTGTTGTTTATTAATATAATATTTGGTTGTTTATGTTGTTGTTTTTAAAATAATATAATAAAAGTCTAATTATTCACTAATTTATGTTTGGTAAACGCAGACATAAATCATCATACGTCACTTATTTTGTCTGTTAAAAAATGCATTCTGAGGTCAGATCCACTGGGAAGTCTGTTCCAGGACAAGGAAACCAGGAATAGCCATTATTTTCACATACAATATACCAATTCTTCCTTATTGTTCTGGTTTAAATGGAAGCATGGAGTCCGGTAATGTAAACAAATAACAAATGGGTGTTGTTAGAAACATTAGAACTGAATTCTCATGATATTGCATAGTTGACAGAGACTGTACATGTCGCGGTGATGCCAAACTAACAATGCAATATCTTAAGAAACAAAAGTCTCAAAGTAGACCAGGGATTTCCTCCTAATTCCGTCAAAACTATCACAAAATGGGAAAATATGAATAAAAAAGAAAGCACTACAGCTTGAAACTCATACAGTCAATAGATGCTTGGCTGAAATGCACGACAGTCTCCTCCGTTCAAGTGACAACTCTCTGTTTGATCAGTTGTGGTCAGAACATGATACACCTTTATGGCTTTATGACATTCAGGTTGCCGTAGTGACAAAGGCCACTCGGTGCTTCACTGTAAAACTTTGTTAGAAAGCTGCTCCTTTGGCCTCATTGCTTACTGGGACCGATACTAATTTAGAAACCTACAACTTTCTTGATAAGTGCTAAAGTTATTTTGAAGAGTTAATTTTCCTAGCAGTGGCTTATCTAATGAGTGACGTGAATGGCTACAAGGGAGTAGTTTGTGGACTTTAAACCTTTTAAATGCCATGCCTAATGTGTTATTTTAACACTATGATTGAGACAATTAAATAGCAGGTCTCAAATCATTACAGATTTTTATACACTTGGAACTTAATGCATATTTGAAAAGTAATAATAATATTATGGATTAAATGTAAAAAAATAAATAAATAAAAGTAGGGAGACATCCACCCAATCTATCATATTTTCCATCAATTCAAAAAATAGGTCTAACATTTTTTTTTTTTTCATACATTCAAATGACTTCACAAACAAAACGAACAATGCATCTGTTATTTATTAAGCTGAGTTTATTGCCCCGAAACGAACCGGGCCATAAATATATCTCTTATAACTATATTTGTATTAAAACTTCCTCGATGTTGTAAGATACGAGTAAATGCTTAAACTTAAAAATGACTTGAAATGTTTGATCAACATTTGGCGGCACATAAAATGGGCCACCGTCTGTAATAATATGAAAATATGATAGTGATCTAAATGTTTCATTAACACTTTTAAAAACATCTAATAATATAGGCTGCAATGTATAAAGGTAAGGTATAAGACAACATCTTGTGTATTTCTATTAAGATTAAAACTCCATAATTTCTACCGTTCACGTTGGTAGAAGGGAAGGGAAAAATAACCATTTTCTATTTTAATATTTTAAAATATGATTTATTTATGTGATGCAAAGCTAAATTCTCAGCATCATTACTCCAGTCTCCAGTGTTACATGATCCTTCAGAAATTATTATAATATGCTGATTTGCTGCTCAAGAAACACCATCAATGTAGAAAACAGTTGGGCTGTTTAATATATATATTTTTTTTTTTTGTGAAAACAGTGATACATCTTAAGGATTGTTTGATGAATAGAAAGTTCAAAAGAACTAGTTGTGAAATAGTTTTTTTTTTTTAACACTATAAATGGGTTTACTGTCGCTTTTGATCAGTTTAAAGCATCTTTGCTGAATAAAAGTTACAATATCCCCAAGGGGTATTAACCAGATTTGTCCTTCATTCACATTCTAGGGCAAGTTGCTATCTGGGAATGGTTGTGAACTTCAGTGAACTTAGGCAGGCCCTGAAAACCAAGCTGTACAGTGCTGGGTATAAACTAAAGCTATAAAAAAATCTCAAACACACAGTCCACGCTCCACCCTATTACCTCATGATGGTGCAAGTGATGAGATACCGGGGGGGGGGAACAATTTTTGCATTAATTGCTCAATTTTAGAAAAGTTTGCCTCTTTGTGATTACTTTAAGTAATGAGAGTACGCTAATTGCTCTGATTATCACCCTAGCGAGTACCTTGATTTATGGTCACTGTGACAGAGCAAAACTCAAGATTAGATTCAAATTCATAAATTAGCAGTTCAGAACCTTAAGTCCACTTACTTAAGCCCTTAGCTCAAAAAGATATGGTATGTTTAACAAATAAGATACTGAAGGGGTGGATCCCTAACAGTACAGCATGTAAAATGTCTCCATCCTTGTAACATCACACAATAGAAATAAATCCATGCATCTGAATACACTGATCTCAGCATTTTTATTGTTTTTCCTAATCAATAATAAAGTCAAAATGGACAGGTATAGCCCTGTGTATCAGATCACACGAATCTGTAATAAAATAAGACAGCAGAGAAAAAGATCATTAGCTACAAATTTGGCATGGTGACAAAAAGGGGGCAAAAAGAAAACATTATGAAAAATGTACATGCAAATTAAACAAAAAAAAAATAATTAGTGTTATTAACTATGTAAAAAAATGAATACTTTCAGGAATATACAGCGTGAAGCCAAAAAAGAACAAATTAAAATAAAAAGTGTCAAGAGATCCTTATGGTGGCAACCACTGACAGGCTGATGGCTGACATTATTCAAGCCACATAGGATATCATTCAAGGCTTAACAGTCTCTGAGGGGGGCTTTACACATTGAACCGGAAATCATATTTCAGCTGTGCTTCACATCAAATCATAAAACAAATTACAGAACATAACTGCGGGGCACAGGTTGAATTTAAAACAAAAATAAATTGATAGCCTGTGCACAATCTGAATACATTTAAATTTCAATTCATAGCATCTTTGGATCTCCTGACCTTACAGTTATTGAAATACAAAGTGACCAACGTCAAGAACCTTGCATTCAGAAAATTGTCTCTGAAGAGGGAAAAAGTAAATAGCACAATACAAAAAATGACAAGTTGTCATGGTAAAGGGACTATTTGAGGCGTTTCTTAACGGTAGCCACATCAGTCATGCTACATACAGTCACTCTTTGATATCCCTGCTTCTGTCACCAGTGATTTGAGGTATAAAAACATCAGCTGTGATGATTTCTTTTTAGTCATCACACTCCTCATTAATGTGATTATTATTACTACCTTTGTTGTGAACGGAGTACCCCAACCTTCCTAAATGAGTCCTAGTGGTCAATTTGTGTTCCCTAAGAGAAGTCCGCCTGTCGAACAATCTTGCATGTGGTTCTGTCCTTTTGGGGATCGGTAGGCAAAACACATGAAAAAGGAACAACATTAGATGACAGTAATTAAAGGACACTGTAACAGCAGCCAACAGCGCTGATGGAAGACCGTTATTGATTAACAAAATTTACAATAATACTTGTACAGTACAAAATCAAACATATAAAAATGTAGTTCAAGGTAATACTTTGCCCTGCATGCAGACTGCAATAAGTCAGCTGAATTCCTTTTGGACTGTTCAGTCAGTATATTTAGGACCAATACTATATAAATTACTAAGAGCGGGACTTTTTACAAGTCGCCTCTGGTGAAAGGCTTGGGGAAAAAAAAAACATGGTAATCGGTACAACAGGGGCCATTTTACCACAAAGCACATTTTCCCAACCCAATACTTTTGAAATAAAACAAAAAGGAGAAGAAAAATCCCCGTCTATAACCTGCCCTGCGTCCATGAGAAGCTGGGAATAAAATATAAAAAAAAGACACCCTACGCTCCCACCCCAAGAAAAGCCCACCCTTAATTCCAGCAAACACGTCCCATTGAAACTAACGTTTTCCATAAGAAAGACCTTATCATTGGCCTTTTCAACAATCTACGCTTCCTAAAATGAATCCCGCCCCTTTTCTGTCCACTGCCCTCTTTTAAAAACAGCATGTCAGTTACACAGTTCACATTCTGTGTGATCAGCCTGGGTAGATTCATTCACCATGTAAAATAAACAGGATCAAAAAAGTGCTAAATGGGATTCTTTCTGACTAAGAAGGGAAATGAGGAGTGGACGGAGGGAGAGAGGGATGAGCAAGCCAGACAGGCGCAGAAGAATCCCATGATGTGGCCTGTGCCAAGAGGCACTTACACGCTCTCATGCAGTGCCCTCTAGTGTATAGCCCTTGGCTTCACAATCCAAGGGAAAAAAGAAGGACAGGGTGAAAGGGGTTTATGTGCTGTCAGTCACAGGCCCCCCTTCACAAACTCAATCCCTCTTTATCCCCCTCCAAGTAACCTGCCAGTCTCAAGAAAGAGTATATGTTATTTTACATACAGATATTCTTATAAATATATATTTATATATATGGCCCTTACTGAAAGAGAATGTGAGCATTTCACATGGACATAAAAGTACCATAATCTCTATACAGCTAAGTGGAAAGTGGTGTCAGTGTAATTTAACAGGCAGCATTTTTGTCTACTTGATGCACTTATTCAGAAGAATTAAAAAAATTGCAAAATGTCTGCCTCTTGGATGAATGCTTGCTACCCTTCTTATAGATTTGCTGTCCACACGTTTTCCTGAGTAATACTTGAATCATTGTAACAGACGATTTCAGTTCTGGGTGACTCCCTGCCATTGCTTTTTCATAGTTATTTTTACATGCTTGAAAATGTAAGTGAATGACTTTTGGAAAAAAGTAAATAACTATTTTTGCTTTCTTTTTCGTCTATTGATTAACAGAGCAGAACTAAAAGTCTACGGAGCATTTCCTTTTATTCAGAAGGAAATCAAAAAAAAGAAGAACGTAATAATGGAAAATGCATCGCAGGCCAAAGGAGGGTGAAATTTCATATGAACATAATGGCAGTGAGAAAAACATTACTTAAAAACATTTAAAGTAGGAGAACTAAATAACAATAATAATAACAATATTAATAATAACAATAATAACAACAACAACAATAATACAAAATAAAGACAGCATGGCAAAATAAAAATAGGGAACCTCCATCTGAGCATCTAGGCACAGGAGCCCATTCACCTGTAGCTTTGGCTTGTTGGGGTTTTGGAGCCACTGCTGACTGGGTCGCTGGCATCAGCCAAGAGACTGCTATACCCTGAGAATTCGGAGACTGATGTCTGTAAGCGGTGAGTTATCTCTCCCCCCGAGTCACTGCTGAAGGCCAGGGACACTCTGCCCCCTTTAAACTGCGTCCCAAAAGCCTGGGCAAAGTTCTCGATCTGATAAGGAGCCTTGGCTGGGTTCAGCGTAGCCAGGTCCTGGGAAGCAGCCAGGGAGAATCCTCCTGTGGTGGCTGCGGCTCCATTTTTCGGCCCTTGCGGTTCCTTTGGATCGCCCAGGTTGGGAGGCTGAGGTGTGATCTGGTAGGCGTTGGTGTTGGGGGGGAGTGGAGGTGGCGGAGGGGAAGTGTGCTGCTTATCCAGCTGTTCGGTGAGCTCCTGGGAAGGTGTGAGCTGCTGCGTGTGTGCAGACTGCTCCAGGCTGCTCAAGTGGAAGCCCGTTGGAGGCGACGAGCCCTCTAGGAGACCAAAGTGGGACTTTGGCACAGATGAAAGGGAGGGCGAAGACGAGACAGGTTGAGAGAACGAGTACTCGAGAGGTGAGGAAGTATACACATGCTTGTTTGACAAAAGCGGGCTAGGGCCTGAAAATGGTCCTGTGGTAGTCACGGCAGAACTGGAACCCAGCGGGAAGCTTGCGCTGTGACTGGTCCTCTCTAGTGCCTGTAGTAGAAAACGTGAGTACTCATGCATGATTACGGCTTTGTCACCACTGTTGGGACTTGACTGGGTGTCCTCAGTTCCCAACGGGTCTGCAGCATCAGTGGTGGCTGGCTGGAGCTCAACGTGATGGGGATCGGTGATGTCAAAGGTCACTTCAGGCTTGTGAGCATAGTGGTCCAACAAGCTCTGGAGAACCTCATCTGGGATACCAGACTTGTCCTGCTTTATATCTCCCAAAGGGGATGAGTCCAGGAGGCCCAGTGCAGCGTCGCCATCTAGGACCCCAGAAACGACACCCTGAATGACCGTCGGTTGCGACTGCAGATGACTGACACCTACGTCATAGTCTGAAGCTCCAGAAGCAGCACCGCCACTGTTCGGCACATGGAGGTATCGCCTCTTCTTCAGAAACTGCATGGCATCGTCATAGTTACAGCTGCTGGGACCAACTTTGGCCCCTGGACATGGAAGAAGCCCGAGGCTGTCCAAGCCTCCTCCCGCAGGCAATTCCATGCCTCCTGGCTTGGATTGATCCATGGGGTGAGTATTTTTCTCCAGGGACTTCCTGTTCCCCTTCTTGAAAGGCATCTTGGGAGCCCGGCCGTGTTCACCATGCATGCTGGGGCCCGGCTGGGCTGAAGATGATGTTGTTGATAGCGTGTGGTTCCCGGCTGAGCCAAAGTCATGCACCCCGTAACTGTCCGCCCCCTGACTATGCAACACTCCCATAGACCCAGATGACTTCTTACGTTTTCGTTCACCCCCGTCACCAGCATTTTTTGTCTTGCCCCGCTTGCGGCTAGGCGTAGCAGCATTTCCCTGAGAGATTCCGTAGCTGCCGTGTTCTCCGTCGCCTGCTGAGCCCAACTCGTGCTCTGCCCCATCCACACCCTTTTTTATGGCATCTCCACATGTCCGCTTGTGCTTCAGCAACCGGTCCGTTCTGGAAAAATACTAAAGAAAGAACACAAGTATGAGAACACAGTACTGCTAAACAGAAATGGTTGAAACTTGTGCACGAAACGCACCTGTTGGCAGGTGTCACACTTATATGGCTTTTCTCCACTATGAGTTCTCTTGTGTCTTTCCATGTGATACTTCTGAATAAAACGCATGTTGCACTGGTCACAGCTGAATGGCTTCTCTCCTGGAAACCAGACATGCATGAAAGGAAAAATAAATTGTGGACTAAAAGAGGCTTTGCAAATTTTACATTAAAAACAGAAGTGTCTGTGAAGCGTGATCGACATCTTGCTAACAAATAAGCCAGATATGAGGAAATGAAAGCTAAAGTTGGTGTGAACTTGAGGAACATACCACTGTGGATCTTCTCGTGTACCAAAGTGGGACTTTGGCACAGATGAAAGGGAGGGCGAAGACGAGACAGGTTGAGAGAACGAGTACTCGAGAGGTGAGGAAGTATACACATGCTTGTTTGACAAAAGCGGGCTAGGGCCTGAAAATGGTCCTGTGGTAGTCACGGCAGAACTGGAACCCAGCGGGAAGCTTGCGCTGTGACTGGTCCTCTCTAGTGCCTGTAGTAGAAAACGTGAGTACTCATGCATGATTACGGCTTTGTCACCACTGTTGGGACTTGACTGGGTGTCCTCAGTTCCCAACGGGTCTGCAGCATCAGTGGTGGCTGGCTGGAGCTCAACGTGATGGGGATCGGTGATGTCAAAGGTCACTTCAGGCTTGTGAGCATAGTGGTCCAACAAGCTCTGGAGAACCTCATCTGGGATACCAGACTTGTCCTGCTTTATATCTCCCAAAGGGGATGAGTCCAGGAGGCCCAGTGCAGCGTCGCCATCTAGGACCCCAGAAACGACACCCTGAATGACCGTCGGTTGCGACTGCAGATGACTGACACCTACGTCATAGTCTGAAGCTCCAGAAGCAGCACCGCCACTGTTCGGCACATGGAGGTATCGCCTCTTCTTCAGAAACTGCATGGCGTCATCATAGTTACTGCTGTTGGGACAAACTTTGGCCCCTGGACCTGGAAGAAGACCGAGGCTGTCCAAGCCTCCTGGCTTGGATTGATCCATGGGGTGAGTATTTTTCTCCAGGGACTTCCTGTTCCCCTTCTTGAAAGGCATCTTGGGAGCCCGGCCGTGTTCACCATGCATGCTGGGGCCCGGCTGGGCTGAAGATGATGTTGTTGATAGCGTGTGGTTCCCGGCTGAGCCAAAGTCATGCACCCCGTAACTGTCCGCCCCCTGACTATGCAACACTCCCATAGACCCAGATGACTTCTTACGTTTTCGTTCACCCCCGTCACCAGCATTTTTTGTCTTGCCCCGCTTGCGGCTAGGCGTAGCAGCATTTCCCTGAGAGATTCCGTAGCTGCCGTGTTCTCCGTCGCCTGCTGAGCCCAACTCGTGCTCTGCCCCATCCACACCCTTTTTTATGGCATCTCCACATGTCCGCTTGTGCTTCAGCAACCGGTCCGTTCTGGAAAAATACTAAAGGAGGAACACAAGTGTGAGAACACAGTGCTGCTAAACAGAAAGTGTTGAAACTCGTGCATGAAACGCACCTGTTGGCAGGTGTCACACTTATATGGCTTTTCTCCACTATGAGTTCTCTTGTGTCTTTCCATGTGATACTTCTGAATAAAACGCATGTTGCACTGGTCACAGCTGAATGGCTTCTCTCCTGGAAACCAGACATGCATGAAAGGAAAAATAAATTGTGGACTAAAAGAGGCTTTGCAAATTTTACATTAAAAACAGAAGTGTCTGTGAAGCGTGATCGACATCTTGCTAACAAATAAGCCAGATATGAGGAAATGAAAGCTAAAGTTGGTGTGAACTTGAGGAACATACCACTGTGGATCTTCTCGTGTCTCTGTAAGAGGTATTTCTGAATGAAGCTCATGTTACACTGAGTGCAGCGGAAAGGCCTCTCACCTGTAAAGGACATGGAGTGTCAAGCACTAGCAATACATCACGATGGTTTTTAATGGGGCCAATACCACCAATAAGTATTTGTATGAGTAAAAGAACTGAATCAATTAAAACTGAATTTTGAAGTATAAATCATCAAACCTATTTGGGTGCTATTAAAGCAATGGTTCTCAACCTTTTTGACTCAAAGGCCTCAGTTTGTACAAAATCCTTTTTTTTTAAATAAAAAAATAAAAATAAAATTATATATATATATATATAGAGAGAGAGAGAGAGAGCTCTTTTGCAAACCTATTTTCATGATGAATCATTTAAATTTTTAAGAAATTATTCAAACAGTTCACCTGAGTAAGCAAAATTACTAAGTAATGTTTTCTTTATGTAATACAAAAGTTTTGCTCTTTTGTGAACTTGACAAACCAGCTATTTTAGAATGCCAGTCCTCTTAATCTCTACTTAATACTGGCTGTTAATCCTTGGAACAAATTGTTTTGTGATGGCACTGTGTGCTCAGGCCAACCTCTACTGTGTAGTACACATACTAACATATGCATGCACTTTTGTGTAAGTGTAAACACATGCTGACCTGTGTGTATAAGCACATGTCTGCGTAAATGATAGGAGCTCCTGAATGCTGCATTGCAGTGCTCACAGATGTGCGGTTTGGAGTTTGGAGACAAGCTCCCTCCATCTGGATCCAGCATCATTGACTGCAAATAAAAAAAAATTCAGCATTGGACAACACCAATATTATTATATGAAGGGAAATCTTCTTTAAATTTTAACAATTAGCACAGCAGTGAATAATAAATAAGTTTTATGTTAATGAAGTGTTTGTTTGCACCTTCGACTCTCCTCGTTTCCTCCGTGTCTTGGCCTCCTGTCCCTCGCCGTTTGACCTTCGACCTTTCCTCCCTGAGGATTCCTTTACCAGCCGTCCTGACAGCTGGAAGGATAACAAAGATACAATGGGATTGGGAGCAGACTAAATAAAAGACAACAAAGACCCATTCATTCACACAACATTTGTGAAACACAAATCTGTTTTTCATTTTATATGAATGGCATATTGAGACTCAAGTTTTTGTGAATGAGAGACACTCTGTGACTTGGATTGGATTATTATAATATTTTATTATTTTAACAAAGGCAGATACAGAAATCAGCCACAACTAATATGCATAATATGCACACACTAGATGAGAGACTAGTTTGAATATTAAAAGTATTCCCTAATGTGTATGTGGCAGAAGGAAGGGTGTTAAATCTCTTATTTACAAGCCTCTATATCTATCCCTGGACAATCTATGGCACTTTCCTCATTTTCGCATCCATCTATGGAAAAACACCATGTGGATTATTGACCAGCTGCACTTCTGAATATCGTGTCTCACACTTGGGCAGTATAAAACAAGAGCTCGGTGAGAAACATACACAAAAACCTATGCTGAATGGAGACTAAAATATGAATTGTCAATGCGATGCTCATTGTCCTTCTGAAGGCTATGGCATATTTGACAACAGAACAAAAGAGAAAACTAGTGTGAGAAAGAAATGACATTTTAAATGGCACCCAAAGCTAGCCAAAACAAATCTTACTCTTTGCTCTAGCCTGACTTCTTTAAAATGTCCTCTCTTTCAACAGAAAATGCATGAGGAAGAGCAACTGGGATAAATTAAATTCAACCAACCAGAAAACAAAAGACAGAACAAAGACATCTTGCATGTTATTTCTTGGCGTGCAGCTAGAAATAATCGTGAATTAGCATGAGTCATCATTTTATTAGTATAATAACAGCTGCCTTTGGCTACTGCACAAAGACAGAGCCAGATGCAGTGTCTCAATGCTTCAGCCCGATTTCCTTTCAGTTGTCGTGCAAATGAGATGATCAATAAACCCTTATAATGATTAAATGGGTTCACTGCCCTCATAACCTTGGAAAGGACTTAATTATCAAGCATGAGAAACAAAGGTGCCGTTTTGCATTTTCGCACACACAAACTGCATGATTCCTGTTGCATTTGTCCTAGTCAAACCCCTCACTCACACACAGAAATGAGATGACATCACTGACAGGAAGGACATTTCTACCATTCAGTATTATTATGGAATCTGCATTCAGCTTTGCTTGGGAGAGAGCTGTATGACATTAAACACAAATCTGGCTTAACTCAAGACTCTAGGGAATTTGTATATTTAAATATCTAAAGAAAAATACCAAAACAAAAACACATACGCCCTCCAAAATACAACAAAGGACCATTAGATTAATCGATGCGGGACACCCACTACTAACACCATAAATCTGGATTTTAAATAAATAAATTAATTAATTAATTAACTTTTATAGGACCCTCGCTCATGTTTGAGGCTGAAGGCAATTGCAATATCTCTTAAATTAATTTCAATTTTTAAACAGCACTGTTAAACACACACACACACACACACACACACACACACACACACACACATATACATATATATATATAAATAAATAACAGGTCATTTCCTCCGAGTAGGCCAGGGAGGCAGTGTCTCCTCAAAATATTGGATGAGAAAACAAAATTCATAATACAAAAACAAAACAATGCCAATATTACAAAATATAACATTAAAAAGTGTATAAATCACTAATTTTTCTAAAGAAACATTGTCCAACAGCGACACCAGCAGGTAAAGTTACAGCGGGAGTCTCTCTCGCCTCCCCTGAGTCCATTGAGTTTTAACAGACCCCCAAAGCGTGCCGCGAGTTTGGTGGGGGGTAATCGAGATTGCATGGGGGGAAATCAAGTGAGAGAAGACAATGCCTCCATCACGATATGATTGGATATGATTGGATCTGACTGGTTATGTTCGGCTGTGATTGGTTCATGCGATTTCCGTTGCCGCGTTCGCGAATCAGTCTCAATGGCATTAATGGGAAGACTCATTTAAAAAAATTAAGTGAACAACTCACACACTTAGATATAACCACTTTGTTACATCAAAATAAGACTTGAAATGGCCTGAAAACATGATCCGTGGGAGTTTTTAGTGAGTAATCAGCTTGGTAAAATTTTAAGTAAATCTCTGTGTCTGTGACCAATATTTATTGAGCTTTGATGACTGATGAACCGAATAATTCAAAAATAGTTAAAAGTTAACTATTAAAAAGAATAGCTGAACATAAGTTCACAAATAAAATATATTAAGTTATTTTGGAATATTTTTTGTAATAAATGTAAAATGCTTAAAAACACTAACTTGATGAGATTCATCCTTGGCTTTAATAAACAGAATATTGATTACATTGTTAATGTAAAAATATAAAATAGATTTTTTTTTCTGGTAGTGCAAGTAATGTTTAACGAAGAACATTTGACTGAGACCAGAATTTACATTTTATTTATTTATTTTTTTAAAGGACTTTGCCGCCTCATTTCAGAACACCACTATATATATATATATATATATATATATATATATATATATATAGCCAACGAGTTGCGGTGTAAATTGGCATCCCACATTATATATATATATATATATATATATATATATATACAAATATTTTTATTTGATATTCCACTAAAATTCCACTGTTTTCCTGGTGAGATGTTTTTCTTTTAATAGAATAACTATACTCTTAAAGGTTCCAAAAGGGGACTATGGCATTGCAGCAATGCCATAGAACCACCTTTCTGGGTTCACCATATAACCGTTCATTGAACAGTTCTTAAAATAACCATTTTTTTTTATTTAGTGTGAAGAAAACTTTATAATCTAAAAACTTTTTTTCCACTATAAAGAACCTTTTGTGGAATGGAAAGGCTCCATGGATGTTAAATATTCTTCATGGACCCATAGATAACAATAAAGAACCATTAATTTTCAGAATGTAGTGATATTGAAAGCAGGGAAGTTCAGTAAATTATGTTATCTTGGAAATCACATGGTGGTTCTTTACCTTTTAATAAAAGCTCAAGCGAGAAATTCCTTGGTGTAATTACCAACCATCCTGTCCAAATGTATTTTACAGACAGACACGGGCACACTTACGTTTCCCAGACTGAGGTCGTGCACCACCAGGTTCTGATGGTTGCCCAGCGAGACCTCCAGCAACTCTCCTCCACTTCGCATTCCAGTTCCGGCTCCACATCCCGGGTAGAGAGGCAGCCTGTAATCATGTTCAGAGACCTTCTCCTGTTTAATGCCCATTGCATGAACGTAATCTCCCATGCTTCCCATCATCCCTCCTATGCAACCTCCACCACCCATGCCTCCAGTACTCAGCCCTCCTCCACAGCCCGGCGAGTCCCTCTCCTTCTTCAAGATCATCTCGTGGGGCTGCAGATCAGCCATAACTGTTTGACTGGCCAGCCGGGTGAAGCTAGTAACAGGGGGAAGGTGGCTGAACATGAGCATGCCCGGACCGAAGCCTGGCTCCATGCCACCATTGGAGCGGAGGAACTCATTGCCAAGTTTGTCCTGGATCAGGCTCATGTTGAAGGGGCAAGGCTCAGAGTGTAATCACACTGACGCTGATGCTGGAACAGGGGGCGACAGGGTCTGCTTCAATGCAAGGCCACCTCACTCATCCTAAAAACATAAAAAGAGACCAAATCATTATTTGACATTCTTGACATATACTACTGTGAAGTACTAACAACAGTGTCTGATTGGCCAAGTAGCAGAAAAAAAAAAAGTTTTTGGAAACCGATTAATAAATTGTTAGAATAATTTGTGCCGATTAATATTTTTTTGAAAACCAAAAAACACAAGCACAGCATTTATCTGAAATAGATTTTTATTTTTTGTAACAAGTCGTTTTTAAATCATACTGACCCCAAACATTATACTAGGCCTGGGCGAACCAAGCCATTCACACAGAACGCATATTCAGCGCATTTTCTAGATGGTCAAATACGACTGCTGGACTCGCGTCTCACACAAGAGATGTATAGAAAGCCATGTAAAGTTAAAACAGTTTAAACTTTTAGAAAACACGTTGCAAATTTGTGGAGGTTTATTCCTTTTCACTGCGTCTCATATGTTTTTAAAGGCAATCTGTGTGAATGGCGATTCGGCTCTTTGTATTAAGCAATGCATAAATACATGATGCTGTTTTGTTCATAATTGTTTATGCAATTTACGAAATTAGATTTGATTTATATGAGGTAATTTAGACGTAGTGCAAGTTTTTTATAGACAATTACTTCCTTGCGTTGACAATTTAATGTGCTGCATTATTTTGCTCATTGCGCCCTCCTGTGGCCTTGGGAGACAAGCCAAAAGTTTAACCTATTTAAATTTGCATATAAAACATCAGAAATTAGATATTTGTTTAATTTTTATTTTGTTTATGACTGTTAAAACAAACAAATATTTGTTGTTTGTCTCAATAAATTGAGTTAATTTAAAAATACAGTGGTTAAATGTAAAAAAAAAATTCTATTGCTCTGTTTTAAAAAAGGTTATAAAAAATGTCAATAATTATCGATACTGAACGATATGAAACATTATATCGTTGATACATTTTTTAACTATATCGCCCAGCCCTACATTATACACATATACACACATAAACAAAATATGTGTATATATGCATGCCATTATGCTCTCTAGATATCAGTACCAGCAATTAAACCCATTAAAAATTACCATCACAAATTCAATCCCTCCATTATTTTTTATTTTTCTTCCTTATTATTTTAAAGCCATATAGCTAATAATAATCTTGGCAAAAACAATATCTAAGTTTTTAAAGCTGAAAATTAAGTTTTCAGCTACAAGAATGTGAATGTGCCATGGACAGCCATGTTGCTAAGACTGGAGCACTCTGACTACCCATTACATCCTTCTGAGTAGATTTGTCATTTGGAAAGTTTTCATTTCAGGTCTTTGAGGCTCCTCAAAACCAGGTCACTGTGAAAAATGTTTGTAGCAAAACTATGAAAACTTTGTGAGGCTTGCCAAATTCATGGAAATTGTAAAGCATGTGATGCAAGCAAGTGATGTGCAGATTTTGAGAACAAACTTAGGAACAGTAGCCGTATGTTCTTTTGATCCAACTAATAAGTGCTTAACTGGATTAATCACAGAGGTTTGTGGGTCAGACACAAAAGAGGCATGACAACCTATCTTCGGTGTATTGTGCTTGCTATTTCCTCCTTTTAACACACAAACAACAACCTGCAGGAAACAATTCACTTTTAATGAGAAGTAACGTTAATTACTCATAAAGATTAGGAGTAATTATGATAAGAGTGACACAAACAGATCAACAATAGACTCATTTTTAAAACTAAAATTAAAACAGAGATCAAATTTTTGACTTCATATGGACAATTTTATTGTTCATTTTTTTCTTAAAATGTGCGTTATTACTCAGCTAGTTTCCTAACACATAAGCATCTATACAGACTCACTTAGATCCAAAGCACATGTGCACAAGACATCTCTAACACATTTTGCCCAGATTTTTAAGATTGACCATCAATTATGTCTAAAGATAATGATGATCTCATTCAAATATGAATGACATTTTTGTATTTTGCACAAGTTTTGTATTGTAATTTTTTTGTAAATTAAATTAAAAAGTGCCAATTACGTAAGATTGTGATAGCTAAATTTCTTTTTCCAGGCTGAAAAAAACCTGTATTTACACATGCACAGACGTTCATTTTAAGATATCATACGCAAAACAAACCGCCTGGTGTTTGCTCATATGCTCTATTTTTGAACGTTAAGGATTAAGAGCATGTTATAAATATAAACACAGATGTTGTGCCCTGTAAACCTGTCTAGCATTAGGAATGTTAGTGGATTGTGGCCTGTGGGACATTTCTCTTAATACATTTTAGTCCAGTGCAATGTGTGTGTTTGTGTGAGAGAGCGGCATATGTTTTGAGGCCTATACCTCAATCTATTGTGGTGGTTATTTTATATTTTAGTATTATCAAGTTTGAGGTTTGAAGACTAGACATCCTGCTCTGTCTTATTATGGTCTGCTTTGTTTAATACAATTGACAAATAGACTGTTGCCCATGCAAATTTATAAATGTAACCATTCAGTAATGACCTAATCTACACCCAATCAGTAATGATACTGATTCAAGTCTGGCAAACCTTAAGCACACAAAACTTAATTTCAAGACTGACATGACGGAAAGTAATGACTCAGATGATGAATCAGTAACTGCTCTGAAGGATCTAGTGTATGTACCAGCTTACAAGCCTCAGTTTGTTTGTGAATTGGATTAGACTGGTCGCACCGTATATAGGTTTTTGCATGCAACCGCGAGGAAAACGTAATAGCAAGACGTGTTTTTGTGGAATATGATCAAAATCTCATTACATTAAACATACAGACAACTTGGGTGAAATATGAACAATAAAAGATAGGAAGAACAAAGAAGATATTTTGAAGAATGTTAGTATCCAAACAGTTTTGGTTACCATTTATTTCCATTGTATTGTATGAACAAACAAACAAACCATTTCTCAAAATATCTTCTCTTACGTTATATACACACACACAAAAGAAAGGCATACAGGTTTGGAACGACATGAGGGTGAGTAAATGATGACACTTTTCGTTTCGGGATGAACTATCCTTTTAACTGGAGCACTGTATTACTCATATTGTCATTTAAAAATTAAACAAAAAAAAGCTTCTTATCAATTTAACATAGATGCCATAATAACATACAGTGGTTTTACAATTGTAAACGAGAGCTTAAGTAGTTATGGTATTTTGCAGAAATGTTTTCATGTAAATTATGATGAGCACTGCAGATCGGTCTCCACTTCTCACTCAGTGTGTGTGTGTGTGTGCGCACGTTTGCCGAGGGTACATCATGTTTCAGGGAAGTCAATTGCCAATTGCTCTTCTTTGGATTCCTGCACCATCCGATGATTCATACCAATTAATTTCCCCTTAAAAGGCTGCTCGATTGGATCTGAACCAGATGCTTTGGCATTAGTCAGAAACACACCATCCGTGTCACTTCGCATTCAAGGAGAAGATGAAGTCGAACCTCAAGAATCAATAGGAGCCCATTCAGGGCATGGATAGTTCATGTCCAGCATTTAGTTATTAGCATTATTCAAAACATGTCCAGCTTTCTTGTGGTTAGGTCCATTATATTAGGTGCATTTAACGGTGTACTTATGTTAAAAAAATAAAAAATAAAAAAAAAACTTATATTTTTGCTGCTATTGAGGTGGAATATGTAGGTTTCATTGTATGGTTAGGTTAAGGGTGGGTTTAGGATCAACAATGTAATTACAGATGTAACCACAGAAATGAATTACAGATGTAACTACATCCAGGTATTTTTTTTTTATATATATAAATAATACAACGTAAAAACGTGTCCACAATAAGTGCACTGCATCAAATTATGAATTTAAATGTTAGTACATAGCAGTAAAAGACACTTAATATAAAGTGGGTCCAAACATATCATGGAATACAGAAAGGCGAAATAAAGAAACACTTTGTCCTAGTAGAGGCGTCTTTTATCTCGAGTAACAGCACACAGCTCGCGTCTCTTTGTGTTGTGAGTGCGCGCAGACGGCACGCGACGCAGATGGTATGTAATAGCTCGTGCATACGTTAGCCAACTGAGCTAGCTCATTAATCAGAAACATAAATCATTTATTTCACACACTCAAATCAAAGCGACTCTCAACTCAGGACGCAGTGGCCATTTTGGCCAGAATAAAACAGCATGACTCCGTGGCGCGGGACCCTAAAGTCTATACTGTGAACGTGGGAGATTTAAGTTTTTGTTAGTAAGGCAGGACCGTTATGGTGGGATCCATATTAATAACTTCATGCAGACTCACAAAGGGCCTCGCTGCTAACGCGCTAGCAATCCGGCTAAGCGATGCTTAATAAAAAAAATTACACTTGCGAAGTACAGAGCATGGAACGTGCACTCATATAATCACAAATACAATGAAAACATCTGCAATAATTAACTAAAAAGCACTTTGCAAAGTAAAAATGTGCTTTTGTTTACACCACAAGCTCACAACAAGAAATGAATACGTATAGAATATGCACAATGGAATTGCTGCGAGAGCGACAGCGCTTACCCATAATAAACAGCCCCGTGCAACTCCAACGAACAATTGATGCTCCGCGTCAAGCTACGCGGCTACATGCTACACTACGTCGCTGCGCTGCGCTTTGTTGTCTGCCCCGCTTTCGTGCGCCTCTCCGGCGCTTCAAACTTCACGCAAAGCTGATCTTAGCAATTCGCTTACCAGTGCATGTCCACTGTTGGTTCTCTCTGTATGTATTTTCCCCCCTCGATCGTTTATTTTAATGTTCAGAGTCCAAACATTGTTCTCCTACAGCTGCTGCGTTCCTCCATCTTGTCTGAGCGCGGGGAACTGTGGGTAGAGCGGACGGGTCCTGCGAGGAGACAGACGCTCTGATCCAGGGCATTGGAGCAGCGTCCGATAGTGAACTATCGCACAGAGGAACAGATAGCCTGCTAGACCTAGTGGGTGCTGTTGGGAAGATTTTCAACTCAATTCACTTTTGCATTGTTTCAAGGCACACAGCATCCAGTGTGGATTATTCTCACAAATAGGCTACTTTTTTTGTTATTTTAGGCAACTTTATCACATCCATGCATTCACAGAGGAAGACGTCTGCATAGACGGCTTTTTTTTTTCCTCTTTAAAAACCTGTTTAAGTTTCTATTCCCCATCTTATTCTCTCAAACTGTGTTTGTCTCTCAGAAATATGGTGGTGTGGTATCCCTTTGGGTCCCCCAAATTGAGGACACAGCGCATACTAATGTTGTAATAGGGCTCTCAAATTAATAGGATAAAGTGACACAATTCATTAGGCTAAAGAAAAAACAATTCCTCAAATAGCTTCTTAATTAACTAGACTATCCTAATTGTGAGCAGAAATAGTGACCCTAAGAAAAGATCCAGAGAGAAACAAAGAAATAGACAATATAATAAAACAATACTAAACAAAATAAACTCAAATAAAGTGCTGAACTGAAAGAGATTTGGAGAACAGAGCCATTTAGTTGGTTTAAAACATTACCCAAAAAGTTGCCCCTCCAAGAACAACCAAGTCATTCTTGTAAACAAAAAAACGTTTTATTTGATTTATTTTATGAGGTCCCGATTTTGTATGAATTGTTTAATAAAGAAACATGATTTTCAGAAAACCTCAAAAAACAGGCCTAAGCATCTCTTAAATCCAACCGTCATTAGGACATAAGCAGATTGTACGTAAACATTCATATGAGATTGTACATTCGAATTAGTCAATTAATGACAATTTGTGACTATTTTATGTTTTGGGGAACTGGTAGCTAACCACTGACAGTTAGGATGGGATTGGGGTGGACCTTCACGCTTACTTTCCTAAAAATGTTACATTTGCATACAAATCACCGTACAAATTTATACAAAATCACCACCTTGTAAAATAGTTAATTTTTCTCATGAGATGGAGTTGGTTGAATTTCCTACAGTAATTGTCTATTTTATGACCCATTTAATCCAGACTGAGAGAAATAATGGACATGATAGATTTAACAATGGAAAAGATTTTTGACACTAGAGGTTTCAAACGTTATATTATTATAATTTTCTTTACACTTTGGGTTCTCCGAAGGACAGTAAACGGTTCTTAAAAAATTCTTAGTGTAAAGAATATTATAATAATCACAACCTTTTGGTGCTATAAAGAACCTTTTGTGCACTGAAAAGGTTCCATGAATGTTAAAGTTTCTTCATGGAACCATCAAAGCCAATAAATAACTTTTTTAAGTCTTTCATCTTAAGTCTAAGATGATTTTGTACCTTTCATTCTCTTCTTTTATCCACTTTCCACAAAATGGCAAACTATTGCAGCCAATTTTTGTGTTTCTTTATTTTATAATTGCTAGTGTTATTGTGTCTTCCCTTGCTTTTTAAATGCCTGAAAAAATGTATGTGGCATAACTGAAATGTTGCGGTTTCAATATAGGGATACTAAATTCTTTCAATCTGAAAGTGATTTTTTTTCTTTTTCTTCTCTTCCCGTGAATGCACCTGCAACCATTCGTGTGTGCGAGGAGGGTTGTTTATGTATTTCTCAGTACTGGCGTCTACGAAATCTCTCCCATCTCTGGACTGGTTAATTAAATATGCATTGAAGATTATTTTCAAATGTTATAGTCTGACAATGTTCTGTCATACAGAAAGATCTGTGTGTTCATATGTATTTAGTACTTCAATGTATAATTCATTTGAAACATTATTATGACTAGGATCAGACAATAATACAATAATACTCATAACCAACCACAACAAACTATTGAAATTATAGAAAGACCTTTAGGCTACAGCCTAATCTTATCAAAGGCTTGTTTTCCTTATTATATTAATGTATATGCAACAGAATTAAAAAAATATAATTTAGAGAAATATGCAATTATTACATATTTAATCAGAGGCTGTGCTATGAGTAAAGTTAATGCTAAAGGTTGTTGTCAGGTGTGTTTACAAATATTAGGGACACATTATTATTATTTTTATTAATCAAATTCATTACATAGCCTTCAGCTAGAAGATATATAGATATGGACTAAAAATAACAGTTTGCTAAATGTTTGCTAAATCTTTCCACTGTTGTAGATCTCATCTCAGCATTTACGGCTCATGACTGGTATTTAAGAAACTTGACAGGTCATGTGATATCATGTATATGTCATCAATTCTTAGAGCTCATTCATTATTCAAGAGTTAGCGTGTATTAATACGCTCACTGTCCCCATCTCTGCCTTTCTTGTTCTATTTTTTTTTTTCTGTAATTTTGTATTTCCGAATCTGAAGGGCTCAGTACAGCATCTGGTGTTCTAATACTATATTATATTGTTTATTTATCATTGAGAGAATCTATATTTCTCTATATTGGGGGGGGGGGGCAGTTTTCTCCACTGTTGTTTAGTTATGCATGCTTGATCAAACACATGCTGAAACGATCACATAAACCATACCCTCTGTAATACTGTAGATTGCAGTTGAAAATAAAAAAAAAGTATCAATGTTCATGGACACCCACAGGCCTTACATAAAAATACAGGCACTGCTCCATATTTCATTATTGCTATAACTCATTCCCCTGATAAATGTGTTTAATAATGTTTTTAATCTAATATGGAGACAAATGCACAGTGCCTCTCCTAACAAGTGAGATGTTTTTTCATCTGTGCACATTATTCCTAGCCAGAAGAGTTGTCATTATGAGGGACTATAATGATTTTTAATATAACGCACAAACAGATATACTGGCCTGGTGGCCTGATGGCTGCCCATGTATTTGAGACTCCCCAAAGGAGCAAACAGAGAGAGGAAGAGCATGCAGTTTCAAATTTCTCTGCAGTGAATAACTGCCAGTAGACTGGTGGGAATATTATAATCATGTGTCATTACTGCTCAGAGCTATATGTTACAGCTACTTATAAAAAAGACAGACAACGCCTTTCTGTTAGCATTAACATCATCAGACTCAGCACATTCTGGAATACATTCTGTGCTGACATTTTACACAATTCATCAAAAGAGCACCATGTAAGGTAGTTCAAATTTAGGAAAGGCTTTCTGTTAAACTGAGCATGATGGTTACTGATGGCATTGTTTAGGCACTCTACAATTAGTTTTATATAACCCTTTTCAAATTATCATCAAGAGAAAGAGCATTCAAAATAAACAAATAAATGCATAAATAAATACGTAATAAATCTACTAAATTCAGCTGGGTACTAAATGTCATCATAAAAAGGCACACTTAGTTGGAGAATGAATGAATGAATGAATACTTGTATGTATGTGTGTGTGTGTGTGTATATATATATATATATATATATATATATAAATAAATGTATAATAATAATAATAATTATTATTATTATTATTATATGTGTCCCTTTCTAATAAAAATTATAATAAATGTAAGAAAATCAGAAAAGAATGCTACATTTCTTAAAGTTATAAAGTCACAAATATTTATTAGAAGAGGCAGAATATTTTTTATTTTATTTTATTAATACCCATAACTTCCAGGGGGTATTCCAGAAAGCAGGTTATGTGACATACCCGGGTATGCTTAAGGGTAAGTAAGCGGTTAAACTCAGCTTTCGGTTCCAAAAACGGAGGTAACTAAGTAGCCATAGCAACTTATTCCCTGAACATAACCTGCTCCGGAGTAGGTTATGTTTCAGGGTTAGTTTACTTCAGCGCTATCAGCACATGCGTGACCTTATAATATTATATATGTTTACAATATAGTTATCAAATATACAATACATATATACAATATGTATATTATATTTATTGTCATATTTAATAGCGATATATATTAATTATAAAACACTATTATAATAAGTTAATGTTTATTTTATTCTAATATATTTTTTATATTTTATTATCATCTTTTATTGATATCGTGGATCTGCTTTTTCTATAATGTATTTCTATAATAAAAATACATGTGATATTTCTTATTATATAATTAGCATCAAACAAACATTATAATTCTTATTCTCAGTGATTATAAGATTAAACGAAAAAAATGTTGAAAAATGATTGCACAACCATCAATTAGGTGGCTATATGCAGTAAGTATGTAAATGATCATTGAACAAAAGAATGAAGCAGCATGGTTTCCATGGTGACTCGTCGATTTGTTGCTCTGTTGAGTATGTCTTTTGTGTTAACCGTGAACATACTGAGTTGACTGAACTTACACCCAGACGCGCTTATGGAACCAGCATACCTCAAATAAGCCATGTTTGGGTTAATCAATCGAGAGTTCAGGGTATATGTGACGGTAAGTTAACCTTGCTTTCTGGAATACCCCCCGGAGAACCTGAAATGTTCACTGTTTACAGTGTGTTTTTGCAGCGGTGAGAAATGTAGCCAATCACAGACATGTTCGTTTATCTCTTGAACACAATGGCCAATCAGAGGTGTTTACATTAGAATCCACTCACCGCTCCAAATGCTGGAGTTTTTGTTCAGTGTTGATGTAACAACGTTTGTAGATCGGGAAGAAGGAGGCGGGAACCGGCAAACATTTAAATTAGATTTTAATAAAATAAACAAACACAAAATGAAAGTAAAGCGGTAGCCCCTCGCGGACGACTGCCGCACACAAAACACAAAATAAAATCCAGGCCTGGTCCTCTCTCGTCCAACACTGTTGTCACTCCTCCTTTTATCCTTCCGGAGCTCCTCCGTGGGACTCGAGACCGGTGAGTGGTGCAGGTGTCGTGCATTAGCATTTACTCCACCGGCCTCGCTCCGTTCCCACGGCTCTCGGCCCTGCCCCTCTCGTCACATACCCCCATCGCCCCTCGCAGGCCGGGGGGTACTCCCGAGACTGCGCTCTACTCCCCCGCTCCCCCCTCCGGGGGAGCCGATCACGGCGGCCGCGAGGCGAGAGAAAGGGAGACGGAAGGATGAGG